CTCAACAGGTTGGCACGCGCGCGCGCGCGGCCGAACCAGGTCGCTTTGCTTCGAGCGGACCGCGGTGGCGCGGCTCTCGTCTCGTCGGAGGCACGTGCTAGCCGCGTCGGATTGGCGATCGTCGTCGCGCGGCGACCATGGGATTTCCGCGCGTGGGCGCGGTATTGTCGACGGCCAAGCGAAGAGAGAGCCGCCGAGGAGTCGCGCTTTATTTACAGTCCGCGCGCGTGGACGCCTTCCGCCGTCGTTTATAACCCATCAACTCGCTCCTCGCGGACGGATTAACCCGAAAATAGCCGCGACAGCGCGAGCTTTTCGAGGGGGCACAATCGGGGAATTCGCTTCGCGGCGAGGCGTAGCGAGGAGAGGGAAAAAGAACGCGATCGTATCGGCCTCGCCGAGGACTTTGACGATCGCCCCGAAAATACAATGCAGCGCGACTCTCTTTCTCACCTTTCTCCGTCGTGTTTCGCACGCTGTCGCGTCGGACGTTAAGATCATTAGTCACGGTACACGGGCTGGCGGCTGGCGAGATAATTACGCACGCGGAGCACACGTCACAACAAACTTGCTCGCAAAATCTGCGTACTTGTTGAGATTGTAGAACAACGCCATAGCAGGTCGTCGGGGGCGCAACGCACACTCTCTCTCTCTCTCTCTCTCGCTCTTTCACTCTTCTTTGGCTGCGAAAAGAACCAGCGAAGCGTCGTCACGCGCGGTTGCGTGTATCTCGGGTGCCTCGGCGCCGCGCACTTCGGACCACGACTGCGCCCCGACGCGCACTAATAATAGCCGGCGGCCAGCTCCGAATTTTCTTGCTCCTCGATCGGCTTTCGCGCAGTCGCGATCGCGCGCGCATTTTTCCGACGACGACGCCACTGCTTTTCTCGGCCGCGCGCGCAGGAGAGGCTACGCCGAACCGACCGACGCCGGTCCAGCCGCGCGTGCCGCTGCTCGCCACCGTCGTTTGCGCGCCTCCGTCCGACGATCGCGCGTCATGGCCGACGGCGCAATCGCGCGAACGCGTCCCTTCGACGCGCTCCGCCGAGCCGATCGAGGCGCGCGAAGCTCTTCCCTCGCGGGTGGAAACGCGTGCGCGCGGCTTTGACAACGGGATTCCGGCCGCCTGCGGCACGAATCGCTGCTCCTCTCCCGGCCGAGGGTTCGGTCGTGCCGCTGCCTGCGCGCAATTGTCGCCTCCGTTCCGCGTTGCTCTCGCGCCCTTTCCTCGTCCCGAGATCGCTGTCATCCCAATATCGCTGATAGAGCCGTTGTCGCGCGCACTCGTCTTGGCAGCGTTCAGCGCATACAGCGCGGAAAAGACGCTCGCAACGGATCATCGAGTGAAAGTTACGACGTAAATCGTTAAACGCGCGAATTCGCCAATGCGGCATAGCCACGTGGAGAAGGGGAGCGAAAAGAAAAACCAGCAGAAAAGACGAGCTCGCATCGGCGTGCACATGCGTCGCAGATGATGATGCACAATGCATCGCGCGAACGTGCTCGCGGCTCGGCGCGCCGTCAAAGCGTTTTTGAGGCCGCGCTCGGCGCAACGCGCGCGTGAAAAGCCACACACGTACACCGACACGTGTCGGCCAAATGCCCTTGTGGAGAAATGCCTGAACATTGTTCTGCTGCGTGTGCCAGGGCGAATCTCGGATCTCGCTTTTCCCACAAAGAAAACGGTAGTGCGCTCGCCTGCCTCGCTGCTGCTGAGTGCGCGCTTGTCTCCCTCTCTCCCTCCCTCTCTCTCTCGCTCTCTGTCTCTCTCTCTTAGCTCTGTCATTCAGGATTTTCGTCAGAGCGAGAAAGAGAGCGAAAAGAGAGAGAGAGAGAGAGAGAGAGAGAGAGAGAGAGAGAGAGAGTGAGAGAGACGGGGCGCTCGAGCCAGCCAGAGCAGAGTAAGCAGCCAGTCAGTCCTGGCCAGTCTCTCTGTATGTCTCGTTGGAGACGGACTCTCGTCAGTGGCTTGTAAAGTAGCAGCGGAGTGTCCGCTCTCTCTCTCTCTCCTCGTGTGTTATGTACATGGTTGTCTGTGAGCGAGTAAGGAGAGTGTTACCAAGTGTCCTGCATTATAACCTAAAACCGTTGCAACACTGCAAGGCTGTGTACCCACGCGTCGCTTATACGAGCTCGATAGAGAAAAGAACGGAGACAGGGCGAGTGTGCAGCAGCAGAGTATTGCACAGAGAAGAGCGAGAGAGAGACAGGAAGGAAGCCGCTGCCACCACCGCCGCCGCCGCAGCAGCAGTAGCAGCAGCAGCGCAAGCGATAAGATGGCGTCGCGCGTGTCGTCGTCGTCGTCGCCAAGCAGGAAGAAGTAACTCCGGCCGTGCGCTCTTTTGATGAGGTGGGCACGTTTTTCTCTTCTCCTTTTAAACGCGACGAGCTACACTTCCTTGCCGCCTGCGTGTGCGTGTGCATCCGCAGTGTGTGAGTGTACTCTGTGACGAGAAGCCACAGCATTCCACGAGTGTGTGTATGTGTATATGTATGCTGTTGTGTGTGTTTCACACCGTGCTCGACGACAACGAGAGACAACTGCGGGCCTGGCGACACAGGCACGTTTTTGTTGAAAAACAAAGGATTAACAATTTATAGGTAGGGATAGATAGACGCATGCAGGCAGGGGGCACGCCCGCACGGGGGAATGCGTTATCTGTGGTTCTCTGCTTCGAGGAGGAGGCGCTGAACTCTCTCTCTTTCTCTCAGCACGCCGGACGTCATCTTTTTTTCTCTTCCTCTCCTCCCGCACGATGTGTTTGTTGTACGTTTGATTGATTGATTGACAGCCGCTCCATGTATCTGGATGTGCGTGTGTGTGCATGTATACGTGCGTGTGTGCGCAAGTGAGTGAGAGAAAAAGAATCGTTTAAACGTTACCTACGTGTGTGATCTAAGTTTACAAACTTGTCGAGTGCGAGTGAGTAACAGTTTGCCGTGTATGGCAGCAAGCACTGATAATGAACTTCGGGATTATTCTAACTAACGAAGTTTTCTTTCGGTGAGAAATCTATCACGAGAGATACGTATAGCAGCGAGGTTCGATTAAGTAGAAATGCGCTGCATGACCTTGATGCTCATCGAAGCGCTTTAATGAACAATCTAGTCAAGCAATCTCCTCTCGAGTAACTTTTACTTTGACGCGCTTGTTTCAATATAACATGTACCTACACTCTGTCGTTATTCCATCCGATTACGAAAACGCGTACCCACACATATATGCACCCACAAACACAACGCCTGTCCCTGTTTATGTATTGTTAGCAATATTGACATTAAGAAGAAAGTTTGAAAACTATAAATTAGTCAAGTGCGTTTTTTTGTTACGCTGATGCATAAAGAAACTTGTGTGATGACTCATGGCAAAAATGAACTCTGTTGTTAGTAAAGTGTCATTCCTAGTAATAATAGCTTCAACATTGATGACCAGCAGGCGTTTCTTGCTTATAAATGTTTTTTTTCCATACTTTACCCTTGTAGAGTCTTTCATTTTTCAATTATTACTCATAACTAATTGCAATAATGAGGAATGCTTGTATTTTACAGGATTCACAGAACAGTGAAAGAGCCATTGAATGATCGGCATTGTGGAGAAGTTGAGAAATCCTAAATAAAAGCAGCACTCGCTAGATGCCTTTGTCATCCAGAAACTGCCAGGCAGGCTATAAATTGTAGCCTTAGTCAAAAGCTGTGTGTCTGTCTAGTGACAGTGGAGCAGCACACATTTCTTTTTGGAATTATCACTAAGTGAGTCAGCTTAACACACTCACACACAAAAAATAAGCAGCCATGAGGGAGTTCAAGGTTGTGGTGCTGGGTTCTGGTGGAGTTGGCAAAAGTGCCCTCACAGTGCAATTTGTCTCGGGCTGCTTCATGGAGAAATACGATCCGACGATCGAGGACTTCTATCGCAAAGAGATCGAGGTGGACAATTCGCCCTGCGTACTCGAGATTCTCGACACCGCCGGCACCGAGCAGTTCGCCAGCATGCGAGACCTCTACATCAAGAATGGCCAAGGCTTTGTCGTTGTCTACAGCTTAACCAATCATCAGACCTTCCAGGACATCAAAGCCATGAAGGAGTTGATAACGCGCGTGAAGGGCACCGAGCGAGTGCCGGTTCTATTGGTGGCCAATAAGCTCGATTTGGAGCACCAGCGCGAGGTTGACACGGCAGAGGGTAACGCCTTGGCGCAGATGTGGGGCTGTCCGTTCGTCGAGGCGTCGGCCAAAAACCGCACCAACGTTAACGAGGTGTTCGCCGAGATCGTGCGCGAGATGAACTTTAGTCCTGAAAAGGAGAAGAAGAGCTACTGTTGCTGCTGCGTGCTCTAATACTTAATGCCCAATCAAACGAGCAAAACGATCGTGACGAACAGAAACTGTCGGATGCGCCGATAGTATTACGTGTAATATTATTGTAATATACATAAAGAGCGTGAGGGATATTGAGAGGAAAGAGAGGGGATCTTGTTTAAAAAGAGAGAATGAGAGTCGACCAAACTACGTTGTTGATGATGATGCGATTGTTATAAACCAAACTCGATGTTAGTGCTCACATGGCCGACTCCCCATCATTTCTCCGCAGAGACGGGACGATACACCTTATTTGGAGAGTACACATGAAATTATTGTCCGTCAATTTATACGCGGAAAAGCATACGCAATTACACATGCACACACATACATACGTAAAATACGACCTTGTATATCTCCTCATATACTAGCAGAGTCGCATATTTTTCTAAAATGCTCGACACGTTTTAACGCGCATATCACACACACGTACAGCAAACACATTCACAGACAGACGTAAACTATTGTAATCGGCCTTTCGGTGTGTAATCTACCTGCGGTATATATTTTTTACAGCGAGCAGCGAGATTGTGAGAGACAGTTGTGTACATAGAGACGAGGGGTTATATATAGATATTATATATTATTACGAGGGAAAAGAAAATAAGTAATAAGAAGATTGTGTCTCGCGATAGAGAGAGGGAGAGAGATAGTTCGAAAGCCATAGACAGCGAGAAAGAGAGTCGGGATTTATCGTAGCGAAAGAGCTAAACGAACGTTGAACCTTTTTTGAGTGTCGAGAGGGTGATGTATATTTTTTTCGGCTCGGCGGCTGGCATGTAACATGTATTGTCAATTTTCTCATAATAAATAGTCTCTCGATCGAATGTCAAGGAAAAGGATTGTATTGTCAATTAAGTGTCTCAGGTCTATAGAATCTTTTTCATGTGACAACAAAAAAACGCAACCAATTTGTAAATTATTGTACAAAACAAAAAATGATTTTTTAGAAACGAAAAAGAAAAGCAATTGCCAGGCCGACAATCTAGTCATGAAAAAACGAAGTAAAAGGAAAATAAATGAAATGTCGGTAGCACGGAAAGACACGATCAGGCTCAACGTATCGCTCGACTCGACGCGTCGCGATTCCCGTAATTTTTGTACGATGTTTAGATTAAATAAGCAAGAGCGCAACAATTTCATTATTGTTTTTCTTTTTATTCTCTGCTACCCTTCTTTCTTTTCTCTTCTTTTTTTGCAACTAATCGTGACACGCAAAGTAAAATAACAAATTATGTATCGAGTGGATGGTGTATATAAGATTGATCGTCGACCAGTTTTAGTCTCTTTTTCTTTTTCCATTTTCTACGACAGACGTATATATATATATATATATATATATATTGAGAGATGTGATGATTCTTGTGCAGGACAACAATCGAACGTTAATATTCATGAATTGCTGTGTAATGTTACTGAGACTTAGTAAATGTTTATTACTCGATATGGCAAGTAGGCGTTACGATCCCGTTTCGTTTTTTTTTTTTCAATTTTTTGTTTTGTCGCTAATTGTATAATCAATCATTTCCACGGCATATATGTACATACACGCAAAAGAATTTGTAAGGTACACGCGAAATAACTGCGTTGTACTCAAAATTTCGTGTGTACCTCGCGTCGTTGATTTGTCATTATTTTCGGTTCAGATTGGTGAAACCTGTATATATATATATATACGCGAGAGTGAGAATAAAAACGTGCGATTTCTTTTTTTACTATACATATGCGCAAATCTGTGTATATTATTGATTTATAAACTCTTTTTAATCGGATATAAAAAAAAAGACATTTTTTTTAGTGAATTTACGATAATGCGATGAGAAAACAAAAAAACGATTACGAAAAAATATGAAATAAACTTGAATAAAAACATGTGAGGTATCATTAAAAACACGAAGGTTGTATAAGTGTCATTTTCTACGATGTTGATCGTGAATTTTTGCGAAAAAAAAAGGAAAATGAAAATAATGAAAAACCGAGATATAGTTAATAATTATTTGTTGATGTGAAGCTCTCTTGTATTTTTTCTAAAGGTGCACGAGAAAGAATCTTTCCACTCGAGTTCTTTTGTACGAATATATTTGCGAGAGAACCCTTTTTATACGTGTCCCGAAACAATGTTTATTCTTTTTTCTTTCTCGATGAAAATATGTCGCACAAAAACAAAGATACTACATAACAATTGTCCGAAAAAAAATGTACAGATACAAAATGAAGCGTGATGAGAGAGCAGCTCAAACTCATTGATAAACATAAGGACAGTCCTGTGCAATAATTGCGTTTTCTTTGAGTATTGTGCCCTGCCTTCATTTGAACATTTGATACAGTGTATTACAGTGAATAATAAACTATTATTATTATAATCATTCGCATTTAACGTTATTCCAATCTATTATTTCTTTTTTAAGCTAGCTTATGGTGTATATTTCAATGTTTGGGAAATTTTCTTTTTGAAAAAAAAAAAGGAAACACTCATGAGGTATTTATAAATAGTTGACATAGTGACTAGTGACAGGAAATATTAATCAAACATTGACTCGTTATTGATAACATTTGTAGAACTTTATTTTATACTTAAATAGATTGTGGCTGTATTCGTGAAAATAAATCTATCAAACTAAGTATAAATATATAAATTAAAAATAGATTTCAGCAATCTTTTTACGTTTCTTCCGGTTTTTTTAAATACTCGGTGAGCTTTTCAATATACTTCTCTTTATGGCTGAGATTTTCATCCATAGACATTGTAACAATGCCGTGTGCCAAATACAGTTTGATACCCAACGGAGAATGGACCCCTTCGTAATTCTTCAATTTGTCATTCTTCGCCGTGCAGCTAAGTGCGAACACTTCGAGAGCTTTGATCTTCGCAGCCAAATCATTCTTCAATTGCGCGTACTTTAAAACGAGCTCGTTGAACGCATCGGAAATGACGGTGAACGGTGCGACGGGTTTGATTATCTCTAAATGTTTGTCAAGACTGTCGCACAATTTTTGATCTAGCTTTTTTTGCGTGTTGATCACACTGGATAAAAATAAGTTGAGACATTGGAGTAGAAAACTCACGCTATCGACCGGAGCAATCATTGGAAATTCCAAACACAACAAGCAAGTCTCGAAAGTCAGTCGAACAATCCAATCACACCGTTCGTGTTTCGAAGTACTCTGCCTTAAAGTGATATTACAGGTGGTGATCATCTCACGAGTATACTCAAGGTAATTTTTCTTTGAGCACTTAGTCATTATAAACCTGAGTAAATCATCGATGACTAGACGCATCGGGTAGTTTATGTTTGTAGGAGAGGGGCATATCATTTTTTTATGGCCGACTGTCATCGAGTCAAAGAGAACTTTGAGCTGGGCTCCTTTCCTGTGAAGCTGGTTGGCAATATCTTTATTGATAATGAAAAAACTTATCGGGGTGCTTATTGTAGAATAATAGTTGACCGGATGGGATTGCGACACGTAATATGTTTCAATCAAATGGTCCATTAAAGATTGAATAATACTAAGACAATCACTAACAATGTACCTCGATATATTTACAGAATTTAATAGCCAAATGCCACGTTCTATTAAAGCATTGTTCAAGATGTAAGCTGTGTTTTTATCGATATTTTGGAGGTGGCAATCAGTGCGCTTTGTACTAGAAGTATCGTCGATTTTCGGTATTTCCGTGACACGATATTTCGTATTGAAATTACTAATGAATTTCTGCAATTCTACGAGGATATAATACAACTGGTATATCGTGCAACGATCGGACAACAAGAAAGGCACGAAAATTTCCCAAATAAATTCCGTGGGACTGCAGAAGGTGTAGAGAGCTTTCATGAAAGAGCCGAACTTGTTGTAATTCCACTCGGCAGCGTCCAAGCAAATGTCTTGTAGAATTCTTAATACCAGAGACACACTAGCTGGCTTGCCCACGTTCTTTTTCGGAGTATAGAAGGGATTTTTCCAAACTATAAAAATCGAAAGTTAGCAAGTGTTTTATTTTTACTTTAACAGAAAAAATTTGAATTGTACTTACTTGGCTTCGCTGTCTCTGAACACTTGTACCTCAACACATCAATCAGTGTATCGTATCTACTTTGTGTCTGAATCTTCATAATTGGTTCTAGAAGCATGAGATCGTCGATGCTTATGGCAACGTCAGGATAGTCTACGTGACCTATTGCCATCTTAACAAGAATCTTCAGCGTGGCTTTCGGTTTTAAACAGAGGAAAAATAAAACGACTCGTAGATTTTTCGAAGCAGAGAGGTTGGGGTTAAGACTAATGAATCGCTCGAAGTTTGTGATATCAATAACGTTCTCGAGGTTGTCGTTATCATTAAACTTCACTATAAATTTCACCGTTATCTCGTAGAGTTCCGTAATATCAAGAAAAATAAGAGCTTTTGATAGACAGAGTAGGCACGTTTGTAGTTTTTCAGGATAAATTTGAGAGACGATCTCATCGCTGAGATACTCGAAAATATGCTCACAATCGTCTTTAGTTAATAAAGAGATGTGACTGTCGACCGAGTCGACTATGGAATCATTCCATTCTTTGTACCTTTTAAAAATGGCGAGTAGATATTCTCTTTTACCTTCTGCAACTCCGTAAGCTAAATCTTCTAGCTGCATGCTCTCGGTGGCGTTTTCTGGTTTGGAAGCTAATTGACCAAGATATTCTATTAAATGGTTGTAATCCTTCAACTCTAGACTTACATGATCTTTTGTATGCTCTATGAATAAGTAAGATTCCAATCCTATTGCTCGTTGTAGAGTCATTCCTGTGTTTTCTTGATCATCGTACTCCATCCAGTCCATGTAAATGTTACAGTCAATCTCTTTGACCTTTTTTGTTAAGAGACTGATTAATTCGCAGTCCATGTTTAAGAAAAGCTTTTGCAACAGTTCATCATTGATTTTATGAAATTCAGCATGGCCAAAAGTCAATTTATATAGTTTCTCCATTTCGACTGGATGTTCAACTTTTTTGATTTTAATGGTAAGGCACAATCGGACCATTTGGATAATAGATTTTAGTAGCCTACCTAGTCGCTTGAACTTTTCTTCTTTGGGTACATCCTCGAACTTGAGAAATCTGTAATAATAGAAATTTACATAAGAAAATTGAAAAACAATTATTGCAGAAGTAGTAATTAACCTTGTATTCATAAACTGCAGAATAAGCTCTACTACATGTGCTGAAAATGTGGAAGCTTTCTGGGTAACATCCTGCACTTGGCATCCTGTATCCCTCAAAATAATAAGTTTCTTATAAGAATTGGGAATAATAGTTGTTAGAAACCTTGCTGCTCTCTCAAAGTCTAGCAGATCAATACATCTTGGCAGAACTTCTAAGATTTCCACACATATATCCAATGGAAAATGTAAAATAGATTCTGCTAAGATGTCTTCAAATTTGCAATACCATACTATCTCAATCAATAAATAAACTGAATAAGGTGGATGCATATCAACTAAATGACCATTTGCTGTATCATCTGCCAATAGAGATTGTGAATTAAATTTAGTATTACAGATGAAATATTTGAAAGCTTTCACGCTTAATTCTGTTTTCTTTAAAAAAGTTCCTTCCATTGGAATACAAAAGCGCTGACAGTTATATTGAACTGTGTTGCATACATTCTCAATATTGCGCTTGTTTTCCACTGTTGAACGTGATGTAATGTGGCACAATTGGTCCTCTTCATTGCAAGAGATTATTTTTAATTGCAAGCTATTGTAAAAATCACCAATCGTACAGTTTTTTTGAGGTTCATCTTCTTCCTTGATACCCATTTTGGCTCTAAATTAAATGCAGAAAAAAGTTAATAACGGAATAAACACATATTTTTTAGAAAATAATATATTATTTATTTATAGTTTATTTGATAGAGCATATCATTTAGGTATCAAAACTTAACATTCGGTATGATAGTATACATAATATACTTTCAAATAAAATGCATAAATTTTCTAAGAAACAATTACATTTCAAGAGACTGTAGTAATAACTTAAATTAATCCAGCATAGTAAGTTTACTAATATCGTGAAACATTCATTAATTAGTGAAGCTTGAGAGTTATCTTGAGTTTTTTCCAGTACTCAATTTATTACCTCTTATTTTCCTAATCAGTCGCCGACGTATTTATCTCATCAGAAGTACCTATCAAATCAAAAGCGCAAAAAATAAACCCTGCAGTTTATAGCACTGGTGTGTCAATTACTCACCTTGCTTGCTTCCTCAAATCCGGCAACAAAAAATACTCTCGAGGATGCGTGCTTGGTACATGGATGGCAGCCTCACTGACCAGCGGCTTGAGCATCACCGTTATCCTCCGGAATTTCTCGAGCCGCACAAGCTTTTTAAACTCACCGGGGTCGAATACTTCAAGGTAGGTCTTTTAGAGGTTATGACATTGCGCAGTTGTAACAGTTGTATTTTGATTTGATTTGACGTTTTGCAGCGGTTCCATTTTTGAATTTCAATCAAAATAAAATAATAGCTCTTCTATCGTTATTACGGAATTTTTACGTTAAAATAATGATTACGTGTTTCAGATTGATCATAAGAATTACGAGAACGATGAGACTTTGAAAAAATTGAGAAATGAGAGAGGATATTCTTACGAAGATGAAATTACCTGCTCCCAAGAATGCTTGCCTAATTATGAAGAAAAGGTATGGATATATAATACTCTAAACTGTCAATGTTGTATATATCAAAATGACTAGTCATTTTTTAATTACAGTTGAAGAATTTTTTTACTGAACATTTGCATACTGATGAGGAGATTCGCTTGGTACTTGATGGATCTGGATATTTTGATGTACGAGATGGAAAAGATCAGTGGATTCGCATCGAAGTTACTGCTGGAGATTTGATTATCATTCCAAGTGGTATTTATCACAGATTTACTCTGGACATTAATGTGAGTTTTCTTAATAATCATGTTAATTGTACAAGTTCATATATTATTTTAGACAATAATAATAATTCTAATTGCATTGAATTATTATTAATGTACAAAATTCATAGCAAAATTATAAAGATACTACTGAAAAATAATTAGAATGTGTATTTTCGTAGAATTTTATAAAAGCCAAGCGCTATTTTGTTGGAGAACCGATTTGGACTCCATATAACAGACCTGTTGATGAGATGGTTTGCAGAAAAGCATACTTGGATCGCTTGAAAAATGGCTTTGGAATTATAATAATCTAATTTTTAATCAATTGTCTTTTTTTGCTTAATCAATTATTCATATTGTTATCTATATGTATAATGTTCTTTATTTTAACTAATGATTAATAAATATCAAGATAACTTATTAATTTTATCATTTTATTTCTTGAAACT